TTTAGGTTTTGGGTTCAGTGGGACAGTTTGTTCTTAGATCACTTCTTCATACATAGTCATACTATTCCTTTGTTCATAAGCTTCTTAATACACGGGAAAATACAGCAAACCACAAAACCTATGGTAATCAATATAATCAGGATAACAATAGCAAGCTGCACTAGTGTCTGTTTCCAGCTGGTGAACCACCCAAAATACTAATCCCAAAGGTTGTCTAAGCTGGAGTTTTTCTTAAACTCTATAGACAAGACTTCAAGTTTCTTTATGGCTAATGTGACTTTGCCATTTGGGCCTGTGTTGTCTAGAATGTAAGTGCAACAAATGTCTACCATGTCTATGTATTTTGCATGTACCACTCTTCTCAGCTAGAATCATATCTAGAGCCATCCTGTTCTGGAATGTCATCTGTGAAGTGGCTTCTAATTGTTCAGCAGTTCCCTTTAGGGCATTCCTAGTATAATTAACAAATCTTTGTTGATTATAATAAATACAATTTTTTATTTATCCATCAATGTTCTTGTTTATGGTAAACAATGAAAAATATAGACTCAAATCCTGCTGCTGCTTGGTTTTTGACCTTGAATTAGTCTGGAACCCCTCTTGGTACCCCTATATGGTATCTATATATACATGGCTAATAGCATGTGCAGTATGATACATATTACACAACCAGAGTAAGTGGGAGTTATGGGAACATTGTACAATTTGGCAGTAATTAATAATGAAGGTAACAACCTCAGTATTTGATGAATTATACCACAATATGGTGTGGCCTGAGTCCTGTATTATCACCATTTCACCATGGCTAGATGCCAACAAAATCAGTATGATCAGGAGAAAGTGGCAGAACCATGGTCCAAAATTGGGGAAGCAGTTCATCTTCTTCAGGGTCAGGGTTTTCTACCCCCCGTTAATACCCCCTTTCCTTGATTGTCCTGTTCGAGGTCAGGGCTTTCTCGACCAGCTTCGCTCTGGCAGCATGGATCCAGATGGAACTATGTTCAGTGAGGACTGCTGTTCTGGTTACTGCTACAACCGTAGTTTCTGGTCCATAGGCGAAATCCTGCTATTTCTTGTTTCTTGTCAGCTGTTTTTCACCACAATACGATCTCCGGCCTGGAATGGGTGGGTATTTTCCTGTAAAAAAAACGGAAACTTGCGGATAACATCGTTCTCTTTTTGTGGGGTACATTTCTTGCCATCGGGAAAACACATCTGTGACCACACAAGCTGGTTGTTGTCTTCCCTTTTGTTGGAGTATGTGTGTAAAGTCAATTTAAAGATGTGTAAAAGGTGTTGTGGGGTAAGGCAGGTGTTGATGCATGGCTTTATTTGGGTTGTTACTGATACATGTGATGTATCTTTTCACATAATCTTGTACTAACTCCACCATTCCTGTGATATAAAAAATCTTTTTGGAGTTGTTTTAGGGTTGCCTTCCATCCTATATGTCCTATCCCATGGTATTGTGCAATGTATATTGGGGCTCTACACCGTGGGATGCATGGTTTCCCCTCTTTGCAGATTAATCCAGTCTGTAAAATAGGGTAGCACCAGTCTTCGAGCTCCTTTGTGGAAGCTGACTGCTACAAAGTTGTGATCAATTGGGAATCATCTGGGAGGATGGGCATAAGTGGGCATTTGCAGTAAAACAAATTATTGCTGAGCTACCTTTTTTGCTTCATAATCTGCTAGAGTGTTACCTTTTGTTATATCATCGTCCCCTTTGGTATGCGCTCTGCAGTGTATGACAGCAAGTTCCTTGGGAAGTGTGAGAGCCTTGAGCAAAATGGCTATTAATTGGAAATGGGCAATCTTTTTCCCATCAGCTCCTATGTGGCCTCGGGAGAAAACCATAATAATACACCATGGTCATACACTGTTCCATAGGCATATTTAGAATCCGTGTAAATAGTGACAGACTGATCTTTGTACAGTTCACATGCTCTAGTGAAAACAATCAATTCAGCATCCTGGGCTGATTGAAAAGGGATTTGTCATTTGGCCTAGTGCAGGAGCCATCTATGAAAACAACATCAGCATTTGGGATTGGAATCTTTGATAAATCTAGTCTGGGTGAAATATTAGCCTCAATGGATTTGAAGCAGTCATGAGCCTTGGGTTTCAGATTGTTTGACAATTTGAGACCCAACAGTGCGTTTAGGATCATTGCTGGACCTGAGTTGTTATACTTGATATGCAACATGAGGTTGCTCATCAAGATAACCTCATATCCGCTGAATCATTGGGACGACATGTGCTGAGTGTGTATATTTCTTAGTAAAATAGCTACATTATGTGTAGTGTGCAATATCATAGGGTGTCCTATGGTGAATGACATAGACATCTCCACAGTCATAACGTAAAATGCCAACACTTTGAGACATGCAGGCATGCCTTGGACCTGAACTGGCACCATTTTTGAGAAAAAAAAGCTACAGGGCGAAGTCTGCCTCCATGCTCTTGGGCTAGTACACCAGCCATGGTCTTACAATTGTCCCTTGCATACACATGAAACATTTTTACATAGTCAGGAAGGCTAAGGCCTGGGGCAGTTACCATTGCATTTTTCAAATACACATATGCATCAACCATGTCATCTGACCACTTAACAATTTCTGACATTTTCTGGGTTGTGGCTTGTCATAATAGGAACAGTCAGGTATCCACTGGCGGCAGTAACCAATGGCTGCAAGAAAGAAGAACATATCTTTCTTGGTTTGTGGGCGGGCAAGTTTCAGGAGAGCCACAGCTTTCTTTGAACTGACTTTCCTTTCCTCCTTTTGTAAGCACAAAACCCAGATATTTAACACTTATTTTACACCATTGTAGTTTTTCTTTTACACTTTGTGTCCACCTTCAAAAAGACATTTCAACAAACTCTCCCCATCCCTCAGGCCGGCCCCTTAGTGAGACTGCAGAGGCAGATGATATCCGCGTACTGCAGCAGGACTGACCCATAGTCCAGTGTCCACCCCCTCAGAGTGGCCTGGAGAACAGTTGCGTTAGACTACAGAAAAATCTACAAAAACCCAAGGCATTAAACAGAAAACAAAAAAAGTGGGCTGTGTCTCTGCATCAACAAAGACGCTAAAAATGCATTTGCTAAATTAATTACTAAAAAACATTCAGCATCAGACGGTATGGCTGCAAAAAAAAAAAAACCGGAATGTCAAACACCAACAGAACAATGTTTTGTAACACAGTCAATGTCCTCTATGTCCAAACATTTAATTATCAATAAGTCTCCTACAGTGAGAAATGAATATAGCTTGATCTGTATCGCCACTTTGTGTCTGGTTCTACCTGCCTTTCCGGGACTGAAAATTTTATCTATTCCTGCTTTATTTGCCATGTCTACTAATAGGGACCCTGATATCTTTTAATCCTTCAGTAAAAAAGGTTTTCCTCATTCTGTGTGGAATCAGGAATTCCTTGGGTGGGGGTTCAGGTTGGTCTTCCACACAGCGTCCTGGACTGGGACAGGGTATGGGGCTGTGGGTTGGATTTGCTGCTGTGCTGCAATGAAAAAATCACGTCCTCTTTGGAGAAGGAAAGATATATTCTGACAGTACGGAGCTGACAGTACAGAACGGGTCTAGTGACACATAACCACTTATCACTCTCAACAAAAGATAGACAATAAGAACTTAAATATTGACTCTATTTCAATGACTTTGACCCGTTCACTTACCAACCGGGTTCACTTATTTGCATAAACAAATTATCTCTTATACTCTATGCATTTGATAATAGAAGCAAAGAAAAGAAAGTTGGTTACCCTCAACAGACTAGTTAAGACTCTGTAATTATACCTAGACCCCGTCTAGGTATTTGAAATGTAGACCCTGTCTACATAAATCACCTTTCCTTATCTGAGTCTCCGGAGACTCAATGAAGTATTCCCGGAATACTCCTGTCACAGTTCAGAGATCGAGAGTTTAGTCAGAGCCCACGGACAGCCGGACAGACAGACAGATTTTGTTTATCTTAACCGGGTGACCGCAAATGGGTTGACCTCCCGATCTCGGTGGGACCTCCAATTGAAAGGTTGTCGATAGCCCCTGGCTATCAGTCTTTATCAGGCTGTTGAAGGTACGACGCGTCGGGGAGATTGGCTTCATCTCAGAAATGACAGACATACACACGGTGATAGTTGAAATCAATCTCTCAAGTTTATTAGCGGGAAGAAAATTTAATATAACAGAAAAAAGAAAGGTGGGGGGCACAGAAAAGCTGAGTTGTCAGTAATTGATTGGCTGAATACAAAAAGACAACATTGACGTCAATTCTGAAAAGTGATGAGAAGTGGAGTGTCACTTTCCCAGGAATAAAAGTTTCTAAATTGTTTTAAAAAACACTTATCTACTACATACAATAGAATCTCGCTAGATACTTGTCAAGGCTATAAACATGACTTTCTCAGGCCTTGAAATCAGTTACAAGTATCCAACAATTATTTTTCCCATGGGACAGAAATATTTGACTTTTAATTATATCATAACAGAAACAGGTGCTGTTAATACAAAGAAATAATTGGATACTATCTCCATCTCTACCAAGGCTAAGCTAGAAGAAGAATATTGGGAGTACAGTTCTGTAACACATAACTAACACAGCATATTTTCATTAACTCATTCAGGGTATAATACAAAACAATTAATCCACATGTTAGTACAAATGTAAAATGGAGTGGAGGGGAAAACAAAATGACAGACCTAGAAGACATACATTTCCCTTCACTCATCCATTGAAGGACACAGGAAATTTGTAGAATTTTTAGACTGTTGCTACTGGATAAGAATCTACAATAGACAATGATCAGCTCTTAAATGAATTAGTTGCAGTTATTCCCATAACATTACCACAACCAAAAATCAGATTTTCTGGATTATGCTCCATTGAAAAATTGACATGCTATTAACAAGACAAACAGGATTCATTTGAAAGAGTCTGAAATACATGGATTCGTTATGTACAGTCCCCTCATTAAGCTTGAGGATGGAGATGGAGCTGGTTTCAGTTTGAGGGAAAATCTATCTTGTTCTTTTCCTTATGGACTCTTTCATGCAGGCACCGAAAATAGGCGGTTGGGTCGTGTTTGCACAGCAGATTTAGCATTGTCTCGTGTTGTGGTAAGGCAAAAATAATGCTGCCTGCAGAGTTTGGCATTGACTATTTGCAACTGCCTCCAATCACTTCAATTTAAACGCACTATAAGCACCTTAAACACATTGTAAAAGTGATCATTTCCCATTTTAGCCTTGTACAAAATAAAATTAAAAAAAACACATCTCACATGGCGTTTGAGGAGTGTTGCCTGACACCAACATGAATGCCTATACAACACATCCAAAATGCACATTAATGCTATATGTGTGTTAATACGCTTTAAAGGATAAGTTTATCTTTTGGAAATATGTTATATGTTCCCAAAGCTGCAGCCACTGCCTGATCCCCTCCTCCTTGTTATGACAGCAGTATGGGGAGAAGAACTCCATACTAGTTGTCAGTTTTTGAAGTACTCCATACTAGTTGTCAGTTTTTGAAATCAGCGTGAAATGCCCACATGGCGTGTCATTCATTCACAGAGTTCTGCGAATGAATGAACTACAAGTCCTGACAGCCTCAGCAACTGTCGGCTTGTAGTTAGTTCTCAGTGAACTACCATGGCGCTGTGGAATGCCGTGGTAGTTCATTAATTCTTCCTGTCAGTATATCTGCTTGCCCGTCTATCTCATATAGGCAAGTAGATACACTGACAGGTCTGCAGGAGTCTTACATGGTGCCATCGATCTGCTGTCTCTTGTGACAATAATAAATGATAATAAAAAATCCAAATACCACCCAAAACGCACTCTCCGCTCCTTACAAAAACCTCCTTCTCTCTAGATCCCTGGTCTCCTCCTCCCATGCCCGCCTCCAGGACTTCTCCAGGGCATCACCCATCCTCTGGAACTCCCTACCCCAATGCATCAGGCTATCACCTACTCTCCTCTCCTTTAGGCACACCCTGAAAACCCACCTCTTCAGGGAAGCCTACCCCACCCACCTCCTGCTAATTGCCGACCTCCTCCACTCTTCCTACCACTCCATCCCCCACAGCTTTTCGTCCTGTACCACTATCCCCTCCCTCCTAGATTGTAAGCTCCAAGGAGCAGGGCCATCGAACCCCTCGTGTATCGCATTGTATTGTTATTGTACTGTCACATGTATTGTCTCCCATTGTAATGTACAGCGCTGAGCAAACTGTTGGCGCTTTATAAATACTGTATAATAATAATAATAATAATAATAATAATAAATGCACATTTTGTTACCTGAAAAAAAAAATGTGCATTTATTTTTTGTCAAAATGTAAACCTATTCTTTAAAGTGTTTCTAAAGACTGAAGGTTTTTTCACCTTCATACATTCTAAAAAACCTTCAGTGTGCAGCAGCCTAATACTCACCTAAGCCCCCTCACTGGAGTCTCGGCTATCCCAGGACTCCTGCTTTTCACTGGCTAAGACAGAAGCGGGAGCCACTGGCGGTGCCAAACCGCAGCTCTATGTGTGTGAATGGATACACGGAGCAGAGGGTGCCCCCATAGCAAGCTGCTTGCTGTGGGGGCACCTGACAGGAGGAAGGGCCAGGAAAGCCTGTGGGGGACCTGAGAAGGGGAGAATCTGGGCTTTTATGTGCAAAACCACTACAAAGAGCAGGTAAGAATAGACATGTTTGTTATTTTTAGGAAAAAAAAGTCTTTAGAATCAATTTAAGGCTATCATGTTTCTGGTGATGGAGGCCAATGGAGAGCGGACTTCCCTTGTGGCTAAGTTCTGGACTCCCCTGAGAGTGGGACAGCGAGAGTCAGGCCCAAAGTTGCACAGGTCCCCTGTAGGAGTGCTGGTTGGTGGTCCACTCAGAAGCACAGCTGGTGCACAGAGATAGGTCTGCAGACAGGAGGCACCTGTGTGTGGTATGCAAGCCCTTCCGGGATTTAGATGTTTACTGGGTAGTCGGTTGAAGCCAAGGTCAGGTACCAGGTGGGAATCAGAGCAGACGTAGTCAGATGGGATAGCCGAGGTCATACACAGAGGAGCGAGAGAGAGCGTATCCGTAAGCCAAGCCGAGGTCAGATCAGGGGTAAATCAGAGTAGACAGGTCCAGGAGCAAGCCGAGTTGGTATCAGGAAAATCACAGGTCACAATCACAGGAAACAGGAACAAGGCACAGGGAGCTAGAGATCATAAAGGCCGTCTGGCATCAAACTGAGGCTGTTGCGTGCTTCTGCGGCCATGCAGGGTACTGTCAGAAATGCCAGATTTTTTCCAGAACTTCTGCCGTGGACAGGACCCTGACAAGGCTGCTTCAGAATTCCACGCCTGCCTGAAAGAGCTTTTTTCTGTTTCTACTGTTCTAAGTTATACCTGTCCATCTTCCTAGATTGTAAGCTCGAAAGAGCAGGGCCCTCGAACCCCTCGTGTATAACATTGTATTGGTATTGTTCTGTCACATGTTCTGTCCCCCTTTGTAATGTACAGCGCTGAGCAAACTATTGGCGCTTTATAAATACTGTATAATAATAATAATAATATCTGCAGTCTTCTCTTCTCTACATCCATTCAAAGTGCTGAATTTAAACACTTGTTTGAAAATTTAGAAAACAAGCTGGCAGGGACCAGAAATTACACTCAGCAAAGCTCAGTGAGGAAAGCTGAAAGCTGATTGGATGGAAGGGACACACCCCTTCCACACAGCTCACAGAAACAGAGCTGAAGCTGTCAATCTGCTGGAGGTCTCTCTCATGTCACCATTTTTCTCTTGGTGTTAGGAAAACTAGTCAGAAGTGATTCAGGCTGATAGCAGAGGAACAAAGCAGCAGGCAGAAATGACACTTAGTCCTCTTAAATGAGATAAGTACACACTATAAATGGATATGCTTTGTTCATATTTGATGTCTGAGCTTTACAACTCCTTTAACCGCCTCCCACCCGCCATATAGTAATATGACGGACGCAAGGTGGTTCTCTTGTTCTGGGAGGACGTCCTCCTATGCGTGGCTCCCGCCGATCGCCTCGCTGGCTCCCGGAACGTGCAGCAAGGTGATCGGCGGTGCGCTGTGTCCATCGGACACAGCGGATCACCGATCCACGGAAAGAGCCAAAGATGTCGCCTCGGTCATGTGATCCAATCACAGCTGATCACATGTAAACAGGGAGATGCCGGTTATTGGCATTTTTCTCTCCTCACAAGCTGTCACGCTGACAGCTCGTGAGGAGAGGAGAGCTGGTAA